AAAATTAAAAAATAATAATAATAATAAAAAAACCCAAAGTATTATAGAAGAAATAACTAAAACTCTTCAGAGTGTTTCATTCTTACATCCAATGGACTGGAGATATAGCTCAGCAACATGAGTGCCTGCCCGGCAAACACAAGGTCCGGAACATAATCCCCTAGTACCAGAAAAAAAAAGTCCTCAAACTAATCATTTTTGTAAGTAAACAATTTTTCATTCTTCCCTACCTCCAGACTGGCAACTACCAGTCTTTCTCAATGAACCTGAGCATTCTAAGAACTTTATACAAGCAAACTCCTAACAGTATTTGTCTTTTTTGATTGGCTTACTGCTTTCAGCATAATGTCCTCAATGTTCACCCATGTTGAGGCATATGTTAGAATTTCCTTCCTTTGTAAGGCTGATCATGTCACTGCATGCATATATACATACTTTTAAAAACATTAATAGGGCCAGGGAGATAGCACAGTAGACTAAGCACTTCCCTAGTAAGTGCAAGGGCCTGAGCTCAATCCCCAGTTCCGCAAATTAAAAAACAAACAAACAAACAAACATTAATTAATCTGTCAACAGATCCTTGACTGCTTCTACACTCTGGGTACTATGAATAAGGCTGCTTTGAATATGAATATGGGTACACAAATACCTATTTGAGTCCTAGCATTCATTTATTTTGAGTCTATACTAGGAATCAGAATTGCAGAATCAGATGGTAATTCTATTTTTAATTTCTGAGGAGTCGTCATACTGTTTTCCATAGCACTTGCACTATTTCATTCTTACCAACAGTATGTAAGAGTTCCAATGTCTTGGGCTGGCACAAGAGCTCAGCAGACTAAGCTCCTGCTTAAGCAAGTACAGAGACCAGGGTTCAATTCCTGGCACCACATGCCAGGCAGGTCCTGCTCACAGGTGCTTTGAGCTGGCACTGAGCCAGGCATAAGAGTGCATGCTTGTAATCCCAGTGCTGGGGAGGCTGAAAAAATGAGGATCACTATAAGTCTGAGCTGCATAGTGAGACCCTGTACCAAATATGCAAGGGCTGGGCCTGTGAGATAGCTCAGGGGTCTAAAGCGTCTGCTTAGGCAAGCACAGGGACCATGGTTCAATCCCTGGCACCACATGCCACACCAGCCCCAATCCTAGGGTGGGCTGAGCAGGCCACAAAAAATAAAATAAAATAAAAAATACACAAGGGTTCCAATTTCTCTGTAACTTCTCTAGCTATTATTTATTTATTTAAAAATGCGGTACAGGTTCTCACTATGCAGCTCCCAATCATCGTGATCCTCTTGTCTCAGCCTCCCCAGTGCTGGGATTATAGGAATGTGCCACCATACCCAGTTTTGGTGGCTGGCATGGCATGTGGTACCAGGAATTGAACCTGGGTCCTTGAGCTTGCCAGGTAGGTACTTACACCACTGAGCTATCTCTCCAGTCCCTATTATTATTATTATTTTTGTGGAATCGGGGATTGAACTCAGGTCCTTGCACTTGCCAGGGAAGCGCTTATTCCACTGAGCCATCTCCTGGCCCCCTATTATTATTATTTTACCATACTTATCCTAATCAGGGTGAGGAGTATCCCATTTTGATTTTATGACTTAGTGACCAGCCAATGATTAGGGATTTAAAGATCCTTCTTCTTCTTCTTTTTTTTTTTTGTATTTTTAGGGAAGGGTCTACAGGGTGTTCGGGGTCTCACTATGAGATTGGACTCATAGTGATTCTCCTGTTTACAGCCTCCCAAGAGCTGGGATTACAGGCCTGTGCCACCACAACCAGTCTCAATCAACACAACGTCCCAGCACACCCTAGGGGCGGGGCTGGCATGGCATGGGTTCAGGGGTACGGATTGAATCCCCGGCCCCTGTGCCTGCAGGTGCTTTAATCCGCTGAGCTATTTGGCTGGCCCACTTTTTTACCTTACTCTTCAAAGTGTTATAATTTCATTACTATTCAAATATGAGATTTCAGCCCACTGTAAGGCTCTCTGACAAGATACTAAATCTATAAGATGATCAGTTATTACTAAATCAGGAAACCCAATCCTAGGATGTTTTTCTTTGTCTTGATCCTAGGATTCTGTCAGAGGACCAGGTCTTCTCAAGTTCCTACCAATCTGAGATTCACCTGTCTGTAGGGAAAGAGCCTGAGCAAAGAGCAAGAGCTTCTTCCATTGGGTCACTGGTGCTGTTCTCCTTCTCCTGTTTGCTCAACTCCAAGGGAGCCAGAAGGGATGCATCTACAAGGAAAAGACATGTCACCAAGGGATCAAACTTCATCCTCTCTTCCCAGCCATCTAGAGACAAGCCAGTCCACTACTTCTAAGGTACCCATTCATTCAACAGATCCTTATCCAGGGTTACTAAGTGCTCACCCTCAGGGAGACAAGTGAACAAGATAAAGACCCCAAATGTCTAGCAGAGCTTACTTTGTAACAGATGTTGTGCGTTTAGGGGGAGGGGCACAGGTGGAAAAATAAATTAACATTTCTAGGAAATTTACTATATATTGGACACAGCTCTAACTTTTATATATAGGTTAATTATAAATGACACATCACGCACCCAAGCTAAAGCAGTGTTACACTGATACTATCATTCTAAGAAAGTATAGCTCTAAAAAAAAGTAAAACTTTACATGTTAGGAGTTATGCAGTGAATTCAATCAACAGATAAGATACCAGAGCTGGACGTGGTGGTGCACACCTACACCCCTAAAACTCCACTCAGGCAGGGTAAAACAAAAGGCCTGCAAATGACAGCCAAGCCTGTGCAATTTAGAATGTTAGCAAGACCCTGTCTCGAAACTTAAAAAAAAAAAAGGAATAGGGATGTATGTAGCTTAGTGCCAAGGCCCAGTACCATAAAAAAAGAACAAAATGAAACAAAATAAAATGGAAAATTGCATCACATTCCTGTTTCTATCTGCAGGTACAGGGGCTTTTGGACAAGGATACTGACTTGAAAAGATTTGACCTTGGTAAGCCTGGAATTCTCTGTAGGACACTTACCCTGAGAAGGGAATTTTCCTGAGCAAAGATTCAAAAGTTCCTCCATGTTCTCCTTCTTGTCAGTCTTCCTGGGTTGACATTTTTCAGTCTGAGATGTAAACTTTCCAGTACACAAATCCAGCAGCTCATCCATGTTGGCATCCATGGCATTCTCATCCATACTGGCCAGTGGCAGCTGAGGTTTCAAAGCTTGGTGCTGATTTCTGTGGTTTCTAACATTTAAGAACCTGCAAGCACAACAACCAGTGCAAGGAATGTGTGGGAAAAAATGCAAAATAGTGAATGAAAAACCAAGTTCACGTCTAATGCCGACATTAGACGCTGAATCTTAAACCAGATAACCAACCTTCAAACTTCAGTTCAGCTTCCTGCTAATCTAAAAAGAGCAGGGTAAGTTCTATTAAAGAATAGAATGTTAAAAAAAAAAGAATAGAATGTTGTTGGGTGTGCTTGTGCAGGCCTATAATCCTAGCACTTGGGGAGCTGGGGTAGGAGGATCACTGCAAGTTCGAGGCCACCTGGGCTATAAAGTGAGACCCCATTTCAAAAAATGCTCCCCCACAAATAAAACAGAAAAGAAAAAAAAAAATGCCTCTCAAAGGTAAAATGTAGGGGGTGGGGAGATAGCTCAGCAGTGTAAGCACCTGCCTGGCAAGCACAAGGACCCAGGTTTGATCCCTGGTACCACATGCTGCACCATTCCTATCTCCGGACATGCTGTGCCTGCTACTGAAACCGTGCATGGTGGCGCCAGCCTGTAATCCCAGTGCTGGGGAGGCTGAGACAGGAGGATCACTACGAATCTGACTGTGTAGTGAGACCCTGTACCAAATATATAAATAAAAGATTTTTTAAAAATTAACAAAGGCAAAGTGTGAAAGATAATTTTTGGTTTCAGAGGATACTGCAGTTGAACGGGGTGTTATGTTCTGTCATGCACCACTGGCCTGTAAACGCCCAATCTTACCCGGCAATCCTAGCAGAGTAGAAACCATAAGGAAATTTCATGACCTTACAAGATCTACATATTACAAATATGAGCTCAAAAGATAAGAATGGCAGAAAGCGAGAGATATTTACATTTTATTTTCTGGAGCGACTTTATTCAAACTCACAGAATATAATACTAATAATGGTCTGTACACCTTCTCTTTCTCAGAAGAGAAAGCACAGATGGAGTGACAGAAGCTCACTTTATTTTTAAGCAAAATTAAGCAGTACCCAGCACCATCCCACCCACAGAAACACAAAACTACCTACCCATCTGCATCCAACAGTTGGCTTTGAGTGTCATCTTCTAAGCAGAACTGGAAGTCATCTCCTGCTCCTAGGAAAAGCGTCTTGGGCTCTGGGGAGGCGTTGTACAGATCTTGGGAATCCTCTATAGGAAGTGAAGGCTCAGACAGTTTCCCTGAACTCTGGCACCAACACAAAAACAAACAATAACAAAACGTTTTACAAATATATTGTGTCAGGACAACAGAAGTTGCTATCTGCAGTATTTCGTCGACTCAGGGAATTGCAGTTGAGGATAAGAGAAGCTCACAGAAAAAATATCTCCAAAGAAGTAAGAATGTTAGGTAAAGATTGTCTTTTTTTTTTTTTTTTAATATTTATTTATTTTTATTTATTACATTTATTTATTGTGTGTGTGTGTGGCCAGCTCAGCCCACCAGGGGGTGGGGCTGGCTGGCATGTGGTGCTGGGGATCGAACCACGGTCCCTGTGCTTTGCCAAGCTTGTTTCAAGTAGGTGCTTTAGACCACTGAGCCATCTCTCCAGCCCCAAGATTGTTTTTAATACACAAAGTCGGTAGATTTTTCTCTTTTGCTTTACTGAGCACAGATCTTGCTTTGGAATGCAGGCTGTCCTTAAACTTGCTACAATCCTCCTGCCTCAGCCTGGGATTACAGGTGTACACAACTGGCTCAGCGGGTGGATTTTAAAAGCAGAACACACATAAGCTCAGTACCAAGATGGTGGGAGTTGGTTGGCTGGGACACACTTTATTTAGCAATGTGGGAAGCAAAGAAAGGAGGAGATCAGAAAACTATTACCACCTTACCTTAGAAGCTGAGCTGACCAAACTAGCTCGAAATAGCCCAGGAGAAGGAGATCTGAATCCCCGCAGTGTAGGGAAAACACTGGTCACCCGGCCTGTTTGTCTGTTGCAAGGTTGATAGGATGGAATTGTGGAGCCAATCAGCTCAAAGCTGCTGTTGTGGCTGTTCTCTTTTGTTAGCAATAAACACGAATCTTCTTCATCTGAAGACAGAGAACCGCCTTTTAAGTATACAATTACAGAAATTAGGTGAAAAGAAGTTAGGAGGCTGGGGATTTAGCTCAGCAGCACAACATCTGCCTGGCAAGCACAAGATCATGAGTTCAATTCCCAGTCCAAAAAGAAAAAAAATTAGGTGGATTTGTCTTTTAAGGCAGTTTATTTTATTTATTTGAAACAGGGTCTTGCTACACAGCTCAGATTTGTAGTGATGCTCCTGTCTCAGCCTCCCCAGTGCTGGGAGTATAGGTGCGTGCCACTGTGGAGGACCACCTGAGCAGCTCTCCTTGAAAGAAGAGCCACTGCCTCCATTTTGACTGAGCTCGACCCGATTTCCTACATACAGAGCTGGCTAGGACTTCTGTTTATCAACTGGCCTTAGGTAAACATAGGCCACCCACCTAGCTCAGCTTACAATGATCACCTACTTTCCACAATTCTCAGTCAATCTTCTTCAAGCCACTCCCCCACTGAATAAAAACCGGGTGAGGCCCTGCGTTGCTCTCTTGGTTCTGGAAAGCTATCTTCGTGGCTGGACTTAGAGCCTCTTGACTCCCTGATGACTGAAAATATAATTTCGTGTCTTTATTTTCGCCGTGGGTTGCACTGAAAGTGGTAGATTGGAATTAACTTGATGGGATTCCAGTAACATAACTTTGGGATTACAAATATTGGCTTCTTGGATCCAGACGAGGATCTGGAAGTGTCTCCTACATGCCACCACGCCCAGTTTTAGTGGCTGGCCATAGTGTGAGGTACTGGGGATAGAACCCAGGTCCTTGTGCTTCACAGGCAACTGCTGAGCTATTTCCCAAGCCCTACATGGATTTGTTAAGGGAAAAATGCTGAGGATGAAACTCAAGTAAAATTCCCAGGCAAACATCTCAACTTACAGATTCTAAATCACTGAGTTAAAGATAAATTACAGGACCACCATGGCATTATATTACTGAGTTACCAGCTCATTACTGAGTAAAGTGACACCTTAAAAGAGTGCAGATGCTCTTCTTTGCTCGCCCTGCCTAAAGCTTATGACTAGTCTTAATTATCCAATCAATTACACACCTTCCTTTCATCTAAAAGTAGATCTATTTCATGTTTCACTTATTTATCACATACTCCATATTCATGGTCCCCTACAAAGAAAATGGATGTGAGATTTAAAAAAATAGACCGGGGCCGGGGAGATGGTTCAGTGGAATAAGCGCTTCCCTGGCAAGCGCGAGGGTCTGAGTTCAATCCCTGGTTCTGCAAATAAATAAATAAATAAATAAATAAATAAATAAATAAAATAGACCAAGAGCTCTTTCCAGCCGGCGCCGAGCAATAGACATCTCTTGGGAGAATTGGCACAAACGCCGCAAAACGGGTGTGTGTGTGTGTGTGTGTGTGTGTGTGTAAGATTGGCGCCCACTGCATACACACAGTCGGAGTTCGAGGAGGCAACAAGAAGTACCGAGCCCTGTGGCTAGATGTGGGAAACTTCTGGGGCTCTGAGTGTTGTACTTGAAAAACAAGGATCATTGATGTTGTTTATAGTGCATCCAATAACGAGCTGGTCCGCACCAAGACCTTGGTGAAGAACTGCATTGTGCTCATTGACAGCATACCAACAGTGGTACGAATCCCACTATGCACTGCCCCTGGGCCGAAAAAAGGGGGCCAAGCTGACTCCTGAGGAGGAGGAGATTTTAAACAAAAAACGATCAAAGAAAATTCAAGGGGCTGGTGAGATGGCTCAGTGGTCTAAAGCACCTACTTAGAACAAGCTTAGCAAAGCCCAGGGAC